GTCATGGCTGCTCGCCGGGCTGCCAGGGGGAGGTCTCGCTTTTGAGGGATCCAGTCGCAGGCCGATGCGTTGGAGCGTCCGCGGGACGCCGAGGGGGGAGCTGGAGCTGCTATCGCTCTGGTTGCGTCCAGCCTCTGGGGGGTCTTTCGGCGGTCCGGCCGGACGCGCGCTCCCATCCTCTGTGTCAGCGGCCGCCGACCTGGACCCGGGCGAAGGGGGGCTGGGTTGCAGTCGAGCCTGTTGGACCTGCGCCCAGTGGGTGCCGGGGGCGGCGGCAACTTAGGTTGCGTGGGGCATGGGGCGAGGTTACTGGGCTGGCTGCTCCCGAGCCCTTCTCTGGCTTCTGAGCGCTGGGGGCAGGCAGGTGCCGCCTGCGGGGGAGCGTCATGGACAGCATCTGAGAGGGTTGGATCCCTCCTTGCCGCTGTTGCTGGGCACCCGCGAACCAGCGGGCCCTGGAGCGAAGTGGTGCCCCTCGAGCTCAGGTAGCCGAGCAGGATCTCATGGCTGTACCGCGCAGGGTCTCGTCCTCTCACTGACGCCTGGAGGTCGTGCTTGCTGCGCACGCATCCCAATCGTCGGGTCCCCTGTGAGTGCTGGGGGGAAGGCGGGGGCTCTGACGGTGAAGGTGGCTGACCAGCTGGGCCAGGGTGGCTCGCTTACCGCCCCGTTGGACGCCTGGGGGAAGCCCGGCCAGCGGGATGGGGTCGCCGTGAACGGTGGTGGGGATCTCCTGACAGCTCGCTGCGGGCCAGCAGCTCGCCCCGGTGTCAGCAGGGGGAGAAGGCGGGAGAAGGCGGAGTCGAGGAGAAGGCGGAGGAGGAGGAGGAGGAGGAGGAGGAGGAGGAGGAGGAGGAGTACGAGGAGGAGGAGGAGGAGGAGGAGGAGGAGGAGGAGGAGGGAGGAGGGGATTCCCTGACAGCTCGCCCCGGGGTCGGCAGGTGCACCCGTGCCTCGCCCAGGCCTCTGCGGAGAGCAGAGGGCGCGCACACGCACACACGCACACACACACACACACGCATCCGCACCCGCACCCGACCCGCACCCGCACCCGCACCCCACCACCCACACACACACACACACCACACGCACACACCCAAACGCACACGCACACGCACACACGCACGCACGCACGCACGCACACGCACACGCACACGCACACGCACACGCACACGCACACGCACACGCACACGCACACGCACACGCACGCACGCACACACGCACACACACACACACACACACACACACACACACACACACACACACACACACACACACACACACACACACACACACACACACACACACACGCACACGCGTACTTGTTCCGTCGGCGTCGAGGCAGAGTTGGCTGCACCAGCAAACCAAGCTAGACGGTGGCACCGCAAAAAAACGAATTGGCCAGCATGCAGGAGTATGAAAAGAGCAGGCGGGCGGCCGTTGGGGGAGGGGAGAAGACACACACATACGTACACACATAGCTGCATGCGTGGACCACGCGGGCGCCCAGCATGAGCAGGACCCTTGGTAGGGAAGCCTGACTGGATCTGAGAGATCGAGCGCGGAACGGGCCAGCGGCCCATGGGCGACCATCTTCGTGCACTCGCCGCTTTCGGGGTGCAGCCCCCCGAGAAGCCTCGGACTCCGACGCTTGTGCAGCGCAGCCTGGGTGGGACACGGCGTTCCGAGACCATCAGGCGCATTGGTCGCATATTGGGAGCACCGCCTGCAGAACAGCAGTGTCTCTCCAACGTGGGCCTTGGGGCTTACCCATCGGCCGTTGAAAGTATGTATTTTTGGATTCCCAGATCCTGAGTCTACATTCAGGGGCCTTCCTAGTTCACTGATCGAGCGTTTTCCCTTTCTTCCTTCGTATGTAAGGTGCGGGTGGGACGTTCAACGCCTTCCTACTTCATGTTTCTACCTACTTCTTCCGACCGATGGGTAGCCGAGAGCTCGCCATTTGGGATCACGCGCGGACGCGAAACTCGCCGCCTCGCCACCTCAAGAGCAGCCGGAGGGAGATCGTCCAGGCTATACCCTGTGCGACCACGGGCCGAGGAGGGCACAATGGGCACCTCCGACGCCACGCTCTTCCACTTGCGTGCTGCGGTGGCGGACAGCTGTATACAGTCGAGGCTGATTCGTAGGTCGACCCTGCCGAATCCAGGGTACCCTCTTGTCCTGTGCTTTGCGACACTGCGGTGTGGCCCTCGGAGGGGTCTTGTGCCCTCTCGCGTGTCCTCTCCAAGCAGTCCCGACTGCACTTGTCAGGAGGGGAAAAATCACACAGACACAATTCATCGTCGATTCCCCCGAAAGTATGGGAAAATATGGGAAGTGGGGGGGAAGACAAAGAGCCAGAAAATATGGGAAGATGTGGGGAATCCTCTTATTTGTGTGTATTTATTTGTGTGTCCCAGGGCCCCTTCAACTTGGACCTGGGCAGAGCCATGGGCGACTGCGCCCGGGGCCGCACGAGAGGCGTGGGGCCGTCGGC